AATAAATGTAATTAAAAACGAAAACCTGTGTCAAAGAAAGCACAGATAAACTTACCCAAACGTCTTCAAATTCTGGCTCACTTTCCTCRACTAAAAAAATATGAATAATGGGTTAAAACGATTTTTACTTAAAAGTACATCAATATTGTCTTCGCGTGTTTGCTGTTGTTGTTGTTTTTTAAAGTTAACTATTTTTAACCATGACAATTATGCTCACCTCCACTGATACTATCCATAGGTTCCRGTGCTTTTGAATTCCCCTCTCTTTCCTAATAAATTACAATTACATTAATAGATGTGAACACGACCGATAACATTTTATAATAATATTACATCTAATGGTGTCGTTGCTGTTCCACTGTTGCCGGGTCCTCGTTTACCGGTCCCTGTAGGTGGTTGTTCTGGAGGTTCATTGTCTTTTACCTGGAAGATATTAATTATGATAATGATAATAATAAACTTTTATTATCGTGTCAGAATTTTTTAGTTATCAAGCTACTTTTTTACGGCGATRGTAATATTGTTGTACTCGCTTTTCGAAACTTCACAAACGCACAAGTGACAAAAAACGTTGACGGAATGTTACATTTATGTTACCATTTCATTGATAGCAGTTCTTTCTTTTTGGTATGCATCCTTTACTTTTTCAAGTTCCATTTGAGAAAAACTCTGAAAGAGAAATGCACATGCCTGCGTTACATGCGGTTTTATTTGCCAAAAGAACAAAAGAATGGTTCTTTTGGCAAATAAAAGCGGATGTAACGCAGGCTAAATGCACATTGTCGTACACTAGCTTCTGGCCTGTTAATGTTCAATRTCATGGGAGATTGAAAAGATAGTAATAATATAGAATCCTTACTTCTTCAGTTTCATCTTCATTTGACACTTCTAATAGACGGGTTTTCGAAGATTTTTTTTTTTCGACACTGAAAATATAAATGAAAATAACGATCAAAAACATCTGGTCTAATCTTACCGTTTCCGACTTCATGGCCTCATCAAGTTGCCTTTTTAGAAGCTTGATGTCCTAATAAAAATTATATTTATAAAAGTGATAAAAATTAAATAATAACTGAACATAATAGCAATAATAATGATAATATCAATGATTATAATAATCATTATAATAATAACAATAATAATGATCATGATGATAATCGACATAATCATAATGACAAAAATTAGTGCACGAGTAGTTTACCTTGTTTTTCTGTTCTAGTTTTGAAGATAGGAATGTCGAGTTTTTCTTTTCGATGTCAAGAGCCTAAATATTGGGGAGTCATTAGTCTCATTTGTGGTGTGTATGCCCTTACCGCAGAGAGATTACTATTTTCAGCAGTAAGCTTCTCAAGTTGTTCCTCTTTCTGTATGATATCCTGAAATTTTATTGATTTGGTAACCTCAGCCACGTAATTTAACTATTCTATACTTGTTAAAATCTTTTGTACCTTTCTCCCCCTTTCAAAGTCCTGCMTCAGCTTTGTTATATCTTGCATYAGCTTCGTATTCTCCTAATGAAAGCATAAAGGTTAGCTGAAGTCCCGCAGAATTACGGATCACTGCCCGAATTCATTTGATYGATAGCTTTCAATAGTTTTAATGAACTTACTGTTTTAGTTAAAGYGCCTTGCTCCTTAGACGCGTTCAGTTTTTCTGTCAACTCCCTGATAACATGCGGCAAATCATTCTACAGTTTTGAATACAATTAACAATAYGTTAAATGTGCATTCCTCGGCCGTGTGCGAAGTCACAAATAGAACAGTATTTTCCGTATATGTAATCCTTAGTAAACTTACATTGCTTGATGAAGCCTTTGAMGRAATTTTTCTTGTTTTCTCGAGAATTTCGCCATTTTTGTATTGGCACAATCTTTGAAATATTTCATTTTCTTTTGTGATTGGGTCGAGCCCAGCCAGAAACGAAAAAGACGATTGGTATACAACTTTTTTGTTTTTTCTTTTTCTCTGTGCTTGTTGTGGAATTGAACCACTCTGAATCATGTTCATAATCGTCATGGCAACTTCCCAACAATGGTTGGACAAATTAGAAATTTTATAATAAAGGGATATATATCCACTAGCCGTCTGGAATAATGAGAAAAAAAGACAAAMATTAAACATACATCATTAGTTTTAGTTTTAAGTGGCCTCGTTGCAGAATACAAATGAAGGGAAAGCCATTATAAACATACCTGAGTTTCTTGCAATCGAAATACATGGTTGAAGTAGGCTTTTTGATACGTAAATATATTTGTGGATCATGGTGGGCAACCACAATTATTTGAAAGGAACTCTCTCATCAAAACAACAGTCTCTTGAAATGGAGGTGGCCAGCCTTCGTCAGAGAATTTGGGCAGATGGTCACTGTTATAGCCTTCAAATTGCACGATTCCGAAGTTGATAACAATTTTATTAATCTTTCTTCTGAGTACTTGTTCACGACAATCTTTACAAGCTCCTTGTCCGAGGGTTGTCCAATACTACTTATCTCTTGCTATTATCCTATATCATACGTCATACATGACGACAAACTTGAGGTCATCACATCACCAACGGTTTTTCCTGGCACTGACTGGTGCGCGCYGAAAAGGGCGGCACCTCTTGTAGGACCATATACATTTCTTGAAGATTATTTCCTCTTTTGTTTTTCTTGTGCATGTGGAGTTGAGGATTGAAATGAATGTGATTGAGACGGATAGACGGCTAATTAAATAATACAAGAATGCTGRTTAATTAATCACAAAAGCAGAGTAAATAGAGGTGAACAGTTGAACAGTTAGTGCTTGGTTTCCTTAAACAATATTAATGTAAAATGCCTGCAAACTTACGGCTAGCCCTAAAGACAGTAGAGGAATCCTCTGGTAAACTTAAATTGGAATTGCTGCTGGTTGACGCCACCACACTGGACAATTCCATGTTAGTGTCAGGTCTGGCAGATTCCAGCTCCAGGCTAGTATTTGGGGTCGACGAGTGTATAGGTATGGTCAGAAATGTGTTTTCCGCTGTTTCTTGAAGTGTTCCGTCCTCAGCTAGAATTTCAAGAAAATGAATTTATYTAAACATATAAATTGTACTCTCTTTTCATCAGAATAATATAAACTGTTAACTTTAAACAAATTTTGTTGATTTTTAATGAAATATATATTTCGAAATGAGTATACCAAATGCTAAAAAGACAATTCAGTACTTAAAAAAGCCAATAACAGTCGTTAAACTGTCTAATACTTTAGAATAACCTAAAACAATCAAATAACTGAGCCATACAAAGTTTAAAGCGCTGGTACGTTTTGATGCGCTTTCCCAAGTTAGTTTGTAGCAAACGTAAATTTATCAAAGTAAATTTTTAAGGRTGTAGCTGTGATCAATTATCAGAGGCAAAATGGTTACCACTAATCATTTTTARATACCTGGTGACACTGGGACTGCTTTGTCAAAATCCATTTGTGATGATGAGTCATCTTGTAAATCGTCCAAAAAGGAGAGCRTCCGACTTATAAGTGCCAAGGTCTCTTCGATCGGACATTTTGATAAAACAGTGTTCACAAAGTCATGAGCATTGCTCATTTCCCCCTTAGTAAATAACTGCAGAAAGTCACTTGTTGAATCCAATTCATTCAGGTTAAARATTTTTGCTTTGTCCTGTTCTATTTCTCTGTATATCTGTTGAAAAGCAGAATTGCTGATTGATTATTAGCACCAAATCAGTGAATGYGAAACGAAGAACTCAATATCTTACCATCACATGCTCGTCTTCAAACCTTTCGTCTTTTGGTACTTCGATGCTTTTAACTGCACCATGGCTCTCAGCATTTCCGTCAATCTTAGTCTCCAAAAAAATAGAAAATTGTCCGTAGCGTTTTAATGTCCACGAAAAATTGCTAGTGCTTTGGAATGTTAATCTGAGGACATAAGGACGCCCTCGAGATAATACGATTATTATATGAAATGCAACATGTGCAATGTAGTAAATTCTAAAAGAAAGTTAAGAAAATGACTCTATAAAGAGTCGCATCAATATTACATCATTGAATAGGAAAATAATTTGTCAATCTTTGTCCTTAGACAAGTGCAATAGAAGTGAGTGCACCAGATAGGATTATAGGCGGAACAACATAGTTACAGTATTACGTAAATGGGCGGAAAAACTGGGTAGGACCTAATACAAACACCGGGTAAGGAAATACAAGTGTAAAGGAAGTTGCGTCCTGGATAATACGGCATTTTTTAGAAGGGTCGTTTCTTGTTTCAAGGGGTTGCCTTATGCTTTTAGTAAATTTTAACATTTCATCCAGGTTCAAATGAATTTCAAATGCTCAAAGCCATTAATAATTATTGTATTCTAATTTTAGTTAGTTAGTTAAAGTACAAACATTAAATGTGTGCAAGACTTTCCACTATTTACTACAAARTAGTGTTAATTAAACAATATAAAACAATAGAATTAGCATAGTTTAGCAGTATTTAGTAGTATTTTATGTAGCACAGTTTCAGTGTTCTAGTTTTAGTTAGTTAGTTCGTTCGTTCGTTCGTTTTTCCTTTCGTTMATTCCTTAGTTAGTTAGTTAGTTGAGTTGCAAAATTAGCATTTTCAGATTTTCTTTTCTTTGCATTATTTAAGTTCTACGCAAGGAAAAGAGTTGATGGAGATCGGCTGCGGCAGTGTATGTTGAAATTTGGTTAATATTTACTGATAAGCTAATAAGGGTCAGTTACTTGACCCTTACTCTTTTGATATGCCTCAAAGTACAACTTAACAACATTTCGCAAACGTTAATCTTTTCTCAGGGAATGCTCATGTGTAAAAAAATACTCATAGTTAATATACCCTTAATGCTACCCGCGATAGAACGCTTTACTCGACCCGAAAATTAGGGTTAGGTAAAAAAGTAAACGTGAATCAGAGTATACTTTATTTCAAAGAGTATTTGTAAATATTTCCTTTTAGCCAATCTCTTTTTTTGTACATTATAGACCTCTTTTTATGCTAGTGTTGACGTGGTAAGAGAACTTGTATGCTATCACGTATACTTTGTAATAATGTGGAATATGACATTTTTTATCCAATCTAAGGAGGAACAGTGCATTTATGCGCTTAATCAACTAAATGCGAATAGAAAATTAAAATTCCCCAAACGTTTCAGGACATCGAATGAAATAATATATTTGGCCAAGTTATTCATTCAAGCGCCAAATTCGAATCAACTATGAAGAATAGATTCTGTCTTGTGCAACTGCTTTGTTTCTTTTTCGGCCTGTACTGGCCTTTAAGTATGGTTCTTCCGACGGATTTAGTTTTATTCAATGCACACTATGCCGAGAGGTTGGCAGCTAGTAAGGTAAATGTTGATATGTGTAGGATTTCACTTCGAACTGTTTACTTACAAGAATTTCACCGCCAAACAGAATAAAGTACCGGCTAACAGCAGTGACGGTAAAGAAARGACCAAAGGCGGCAAGGAATGTAATTTAGTTCTGGAGGAAAGCGATGAAGAAGATGATGGATGGGAAGAGAATGATGATTTGAAGGAGGTAATATAAAATAACGTTAGTGAACTCACATGAATTTATACACGGTGGCATGGAGTGCTACTAAACTGATTATGTACAAATTRCATTCTTACAGAATGAAGGTTTTTGGAAAGAATGGCCTGATTTTGATCTTGGTTGCAACTGCCCAAGTAATATAGTTTGTAAATGCAAACTACGAGCAATGTATGAACTACACCGACTTGAGAGAGCAGACAAAAATTGTGATCGCGATTTTGATTTTTTTTATAAGTTTTAAAAGAAAAATTATATATATATCCGAATCTTTACAAAAATCTACATTGCAGGACTCATCCGTCGATACATCTGACACAAATGATTTTCTGGGCTACGAGTTTGACGACGACGATACTCTTGAAGTTGAAGCAGAAGAAAATCTTAGTACACAGATAATTACTGTCTACTCAGCTTATAGAATTCCGAAGTGATGACGTCATAAAAATAAAATGTTGGTTTTTTGAAACCTGGTGAGATATTAAAAAAAATATGTTGCGTTACACTTCAGGTCAAATATTGATAAAACTGATAAATCGATYTAATTGTTTCTAGGCTTTCTAAAGCCAAGTAAGAGTTTGTTAATGTTCGTTACGAAAGTAGTCCAGAAAAAAACATCAAATAAAAAGAAAAAGAAACAAAAACGATTATATCATTTAAACCTATTATTTTTTTAGTGTCGAGATAAAAACAGTACAGGGAAACAAAAGAGTAAAAAGAACAAAGGTACTAAGGCYGTGCTTTTTTTTCTTGGTACTCGGGTTTTATTTGACGCGCTATTCTTAAAATTGCTTAGGATGTTGTCAGTCTTCTTCTTTGTCAGAACGACRAAATAAAAAGGGCAAATAAAATGTGAAAGGTATTGTACCATTTTATATTAAACATTTCGGAAGTGAGTGAACCTTATTTTTTCATTTCCAATTAATTCTTTAAAATGAACAACATCGTCTTTTTGTAGAAARCCCGCRGAAACAACAGAAAAAAGAAAACCATGGTATAGCTGGAATTGTGTAACTTTTTATCTTTTTTATCAACAGTATTTTAAACAAAATAATTGCAATAAAACTCTTTGATTAATTGCAGTTCCAAAGCCTTGTACGAAAAGAATATTGAAGGTGTCTGTGCCCGTAGTTCAAAATGAATTGTGGACAGTGAAGTGTTGCACAGAAAACTGTCTTCGTTATGTACCTTTGCAAACAGGACTAGCCTGTAKAGCGAATTTTTGGACAATTAAAAGCCTAGAAAGTCAGCGAAATCTCATGCTCACGTCAATAAAGAACTCGAGGATAGATATTAAAGGGAAAAGAGTTTTCATTATCTCCGAGTGTGAAAAAACGCTATGTCGAAAAGCTTGGTGCACAGTTTTTGGAATTAAGGAAACGAGGTAAAGGGTCATGTTACGTACTTGATAACCGTAATCACAATTAAACAAAATAAATAAATAAAAACTAAAGAAACAATACAAAAAAACATACAAAATTAATAATAATTAGAATAATCKTTTTTCCCTTAACTCTGAACAAAGGTTTTATGATACACTTAAGCTTGTGAACGAAGGCCAAGAATCCATTGATGGAAAGCGTCTCAAGCCACATTCTATGGCTTATGACATAGCAGTTGGATGGTTTCGTCGATTCACCTTCATGAGCGATGTCATGCCGACAACTGGGGCTAAACAACTGCCTTCATGCTTGACGAAAAGAAGTGTACATACGATGTATAAAGAGCAGATGCATAAAACTGAGCCTGAAAACATATTAAGCGAAGTCCATTTCATAAACAGAATGTGGCCCAAAGAATTCCCGAACGTTTCCATTCCAAAGGTATGTAGGCAGGCTGCAATGTTTAGTATAGAGATACTGAGTCAGAAATAGGAGTGACAACATCATACTTTTCCTAGTGAAAACTCCATTGGACCGCAAAATGAAATAAATAATGAAAAACGCCTTGTGTTTTTTAGCAATCAAGGTTTACTAAATGCACAACTTGCGTAAACTTAAAGAAGCAACTTGAAAATACAAGGCTGAATGTTTCTCAAAGACAGCGTCTAACGTATATGCGAAAAGTCCACCTTTTGCAGCAGATGTGAGTATGGCTATATACTGTGTTTAACATACACTCTTTATTTTATATTATTATTATGTTGCCTGAAGGCGGTCTTTGAAAACCATCTTTTAAATAACGTTTTAGTACTTTTGCGTAAAAAAACTCATTGATAAAACACTTCTCAATCACAATTTTTTGATGCAGGACTGAAAGGCGAAATTACTACCTCCACGGGATTAAGGCTAGACTTAATCCTGAAAAGTATTTGTCCATAATCTTAGACGGAATGGATCAAAATAAAACCAGACTGCCACACTTTGCAGAAAAGACGAAGGTACTTTTTTTGACAAGGATATACATTGATATATAATCACTCGTTGTTTCCATTACTTGAAATATAACTAGGCTGCGTTTTTTATTGTAGGTTGACGATGKACTATGGAAGCTAAAGACACATATCACAGGGGTCCTGGTAAATGCACGATCAAATGCATATTCATATATTGATGTATGTGAATATCCCCATGACCCCAATTTAACAATAAACGTTCTTTTGGAYGTRTTGATCAAGGAGCAGAAAAAGGCAAGTCACGATATTCTAGTATTACATTTTCAAAAATATTGCTTTTATAATAGTTTATTCTTTTATTGCCAGAAAGGGAAACTCCCCCCAGTTTTGTATGTGCAAAWGGATAACTGTSGTCGCGAGAACAAAAATGCAGCTGTTAGTGGATTCCTAGGACTACTGGTGAAGCTAGATATTTTCAGGAAGGTAAAATACTCAGTTTGACTCAAGGTTGGGAATTCACATGACATTCTCAAAAGTTATGAAAGACCAATGATTCTTGCTATTTTCAGGTTCGTTTGAGTTTTTTAATGGTAGGCCATACCCACGAAGACATCGACCAGATGTTTTCGTGTGTGWCCAGAAAACTTCGCAAGGAAGATGCTGTGATGATGGACGAACTTGGGGATCAAATCAAAGTGGCTTACTCTCCATCTCCTGAAGTGTCAATGATTAATAGTAACCACAATGTGAAAGAATGGCTTAGTCCTTTTGTCAAGGGACTAACTGGTCACTCGGAGCCACATCAGTTTAAGCTAGAGAAGATACCCAATGGAGAGGTTTGTTAATAACTAGACGTCTTCTACTTATTGAGTAGAGTAACATATAGGAATCCTGGTTCCTTTTGCTTACGTTTTGACGACTTACTTCATGGTATAGGTATCCTTGAAATACAGAAAGTGGAGCACATGTTGTAACAGGCTTCCAAAAGAAGGGCAAGATGAGACATTTTTTGACACCATTCCATCAGGGGAGCCAAAGATTGTACCAGTTTCCTTTGGTGATAATATCACCAAACTCGAAACAGACATCCCCAAATATGGCTCTAAATTTGACGACAAGCAGCRAGATTGGTGGAAAAAGCTACTTCGCCATCTCCATTCAAGATTGGATCATCACTCATGCTCATATGAACCATGGCTTCTTGGTTCTTTGAAAAAGTGTGTGCCAAGAAGCCAATCCGAACCATCAATCCTCACAGAACARGACGAAACACTTATTGAGGAATTAGAGAAAGGCTTTGAAAACGAATTGAGTGACAAAAATAAACTCCTCTAGTTGCCCTTTAACTGGGACCCAACGTACAGCGATGTAAATGATTGTTAGAATTAAATAGCTTCTAAGCCTGGATATGTTTTTCTACCCTACAGGTTTATTTTAAAGGGCGAAAGACCGGTCAAAAAAGAAAGACGAGCACATGTGCCAAAACAAACAGAAAAAGCAAAGCCGGTAAAAAGAGAAAGACGTCAACGTGATCTTTAAGAGAATTTTTTCAATTCTCATTTAAATATTTATGTAGTCTTATTCTTGCATTTGTGTTTTCAATATTTGCACTCTATTTTTCTCTTTAAGAAAAAAAACGAAAAAACAAAAAAACGGGACAATGCGAAATCGCTCTAATACAAAGTAACGGTTTATATGTAAGAGTTCTTACAGTTATTTAGCAGGACGAGTTGTGGTAGGCAAATCCCGATTCATTTGGGCTTTGGTGTTTTTCCCCTGAGTAGCCAGGGGAGCTACCGTAAGCCACTTCAGTCGTGTCAAAGTCATGTTATCAAGTTTAAATATGTTTCTGAAGCAAATCCCGATATGGTATTGCCTGGATCGAAAATGATTTTGAGTCAAATCACAATAACTTTGCATCAGGATTGTACAAAAGAGATTATACTAGTAAGTACTTGGATACTTTATGTACTTAACCTCTATAAACGAAAGTTCACCCAGCGTGTGGGTTTCATGGCCATGGTAATATTGCCGCTTTTACTGTAATTATTAACTAGGGTAACTTAAATTTCATCTTATTTAGTGGTTATAATGCGCGCACGTTATTCCAAAGTTATGTAAGTTATACAAGTAAAAGTATATAACCATAATATGTCTGATGGAACAANACCACGAATCAAAGACGCTTGCAGTTGGTCCCGTTTAGACCGTTCACAGTCTAAATCTGAGTAAACAACCAAAGAAATGCATTCACAACACTGTTTAGCGTTGTAGAAGTTCGTTGAACGTAAAGTAAGATTTGCAAAGAATAATGATATGAAGAAGAGAGAAAATCGAAGAATCGAACGTGTTGGTTGCTTYAAAGCGCCAAGATTTCGCGCAGCACAAAATAGAACAACAAAATTGTAACCCGGTATTCTAAGTATATCTTTATTAGACGTAGCCACAATSCCTGAAATACTGCAACGAATTTGCTTCACTGATTGTCGAGAGTCCTTCAGCTATAGCTATCTTGGTTTCTTCACTGGCGAGAAAAGTACACTTCCGAAGAAATGCCTTCATCTGGTTGAAACAGTATTCACAGCAGTTTAGATGTGGAGAGTATGGTGGCTGAAATATCAGATAAACACCAATGTCTGCTAAAAGGTTTCTCAAAACTGGTTCAACATGGTGCGCATGATGAAAACCGCAATTATCCATTACTACACAGTTTCCACGTTCAAGTAGAACACTGCCGTCAGGACGCTGAACATCTACTGCTTCCTCGAAGAAATGAAGTAGCTCGTAGCCATTGRAAGGTCCATCAATAACGTTGAACATGTCTACACCTTTGAGTGAGTGGAGGAGATTTATGGTATAATTTGCATTGGAGGCATATCTTTGAAACTCGATTGCTGGTTGACCAATTGTAGAATTACCATAGACGCRATTCCCCGTTGTCACTATAACACTAGACTCGTCAAAAAAATGAATTTGATTTGCTTTAAACCTAGATATTGCTTGAAGATACTCATTTTGTTTGTTAATGTTCTGGGGGGTTTGTGCTTCTGTAGGTATTCGCGTTAGTTTCTTTTTGCTCATTRCAAGATCTTGTTTTATTGTTTTATTTATTTGTGAGGTACTCGGTATGTTCTGTTGATTCACTACTCCATCAAGTAAGAGGCGGTTTTGGATTTCTGAAGCATGTACGCTTGGTTTCATTATTTTTTCTACAGAAATATACTCTAAGACTTGTTCGTTGATCTTATTTGCGGGGTAATTCAAT